CACACATACAGTGTTTAACATTTCACACAGTGTTAGCCACACACTATTTTATGTTTCATGTGTATACATAGACCACTATGAATGTGTATCTTTACACATACCCTAGTATGTCTGCTCTGGATATATGCAGAGATCATGGACATCACCACATGAATACAGGTATGTGTAATGCATGTGCACACGTACAAGCCAGAGCCCTTCTGCTTAGTGTGTGTGTGTGCACAGAGCATGTGGACACCATCGAGTATGTGCGTGTCCATTCCGTGTGCTTGCACTCAGTGGCTGCCCCGTCTGTAGCTCGTTAACGGGTGGGGAGGTAAGGGGGGGGGCTCATGAAACCAGAACCAGATTATTAGCGATGCATTAGGGGACGGCGGCCTGCCAGGCGAGGACTCCATTAGGGGAACATCTGAGTTAGCCAGACTGGCCGTAAACCTGGGGGTGGGGGGACTGAGGAGGGCCCCAGGATCGAGTTACATACTTAAAAGCCAGAGGAGCAAGGGGGGATAGCTGGCGGGCAGTGCTCTCTGCTGAGGAGACAGAGCACAGGACTCAGCCAAAGGGGAAGAAAGGAAAGGGCCCAGACGGGACAGGGGCCCAGGTCCGAACACCCAGGTTCCAGGGGGCCAGGGGGACCAGAACTTGACAGGATTGGCCTTTTTTGAAGAAATTCAGGGAACCAGAGACATCATTATAGGAGGAGAAGAAGGGAGTTAATCCCCAAACCCTGCCCCCAAATTACTTTGTATTTATTTTGTATTATTTATGAATATGGTGTTTATAATGAACAGAATATAAGCCCCTTGAGGGCAAGGGATTATTTGGGCTTTGGTTTTGTATCCCTAGAACCTAGCATAATGCCTGGCACATAATAGGTGCTTTATAAATAAATGCTTGTTGAATTGGCTTTAACGATCCTGTATCCCTCATATCAGCCTGTCATAACTAAAATGCTTCTAGCACCAACCTCTCCAAGCCTTGGTTCCTTCACCTACAGAATAAAGAGGTGGGACTAGATGAGACTCAGAGATAGCACATGATAAATTAAATTGCAGCCAGTCTCTGATGGGTGGGGACTCGGTGTCCCTGTACTCAGACCATAGCCAGGTCTTTGGATGAGCATAACTGACCCACTCAAGATGACCGTCCCCTAACTCTAATGCCAGACTAGCCCCCTAATCCCAGTCATAGATTAATTCCTAATCCTGGCCACTGACTGACCTCAAGCCATAGTACAGAGTCCAAACTCTGGCCACAAATAGATTATCAATCCTAGCTATGGACTGACACCACGCCCCTCCTTCCCCTCCCCCTCAACCCTGGGCACAGACTCCGGCCATAGATAGTCCCATGTATCCTCTAGTCATCACATAAGCTTGTGCCATAAGTCTCAAAGGGGATCAGAAAATAATGTGGGTATCTCAGAGCAGTTCATTCCTACTGATGGATACAGCTCAGAAACCAGAGCCTGCTGCTGACAGGTCAGGACCATGTCTTTTATCTGCCTTCCTCCACTCACACAACAGTTAACCTAGTTACCTAGACTACTGCACTAGCCTCCCAACTGTTTTCCCTGGCTCCAGTCCCTCCATCACCACACAGCAGCCAGTTGGACATGCCTAAGACATAGGTGTGACCATGCTACTCTCCTGCTCAAGGAATTTCTGCAATGCCCTCTGGTCTCTAGGATACAAATACAAAGTTGGCTGCCCCAGCATTGGGAGCCCTTCCCAACTGGCCTCTGGCCTACCCTTCCAGGCTGTTTTCACACCATCATACCTCACAAAATCCACGTTCTGGACAAGCTACTCTTCTTGACTTTCACAGTGCATGACATTCAAGCTCCCACCTCCATAAAAGCTGTTTCCTATTCCTGGAATGTTCTCTCTCCTCACCTCGGCCTCTTAGAAAACCTAGTGCCCTTAGAAGTCTGGCTCAATTCACCACCTCCTACAAGAGGCCATATCTGGCTACCCACACACCCATCATCACCCCCCCAAATTACTTTTTATTTTGTATTTACTTATGTATATATATGTTGTTTTTACCCAATAGAATGTAAATCCCCTGAGGGCTAACATTTGGTTTTTGGTTTTGTATCCACAGAGCCTAGCATAGTATATTGGCACATAGTAGTTGCTTAACAAATAAATGTTTGTTGAATTGACTTGAATGGTGCTGATCCCCTCATATAAGCCCACCATGATGGCATGTACAAGCCTTTCTACAACACAGCCCCTCTACACATACCCTGAATGTCTCTTTCACATCCTGAGTACATCTCGTAGGTGAACCATACGTGCCGTGTATGCTCCCCACCTGTGTTATCCACATGCCCTGATCATGTCCTGTGGACTCTGCATACCCACACACAAACACACACACAACTCCTATGCATACCTGTATCCTGAACATACCAATGGGGATCCCAAATCCCTAGCCTTGGCAACCACATTTAGCATCCCTTCCCCTACTCCCTACCCCCAACAACTCTACCAATCCTTCACTATTTTCCTTGGAAATATTTTTCCTAGGTCATTAATATGAGAGCTTATAGGGCAAATCAAAAGCACCTATTTCTTTTTCTCTACCACCTTGAGATCCCTTCATCCCTACCTCTAACCCTTCTTATAGGCTCACCCTACACTCATCCCCATACCAATATAGTACCACCATCCAAACCCAGATAGAAATTCCCTTTTCACAGGAGAACTTTCCAAATTCACCCCAGCCCCCTCAGGTCACCCTTTTACACACACTCCGTGCAGCTATCCAAAAACTTATCCCCATTCATATTTTATAAGTGTTCCTAAGCCTTAGTCCCATGGGCACCTATTTTTCTTTTAGATTGGGGGCCCTTGAAGAGTAAATACACATCCAGACCCAGGGTTGGCAGGGCAGGGCAACAGCAGCAGTGTTATTTCTTCCCACATCAGGATAGCAGCTTCCTCAAGTTGAAGACTTCCCTTAAAGGAGAGATTCCCAGATGGCTAGAGTCTTATTCTTCATTTTAGACAAGGAGCTGCCTAAGGGCTTCTGCCCCTCACATCAGGGGACACCCAAGAATAGGCTTATATCCCCTTCAGACCAGGGGTTCTCCAAAGACAGAACTTTTTTCTTTTCCTCAAACTAAGGACTCTTCAAATAAAAGGACATTTCTCCCCTCAGATGAGGGTTCTAAGAGAGCGGGGACTGGAAAGGGAAAGATGGATGGCCTAGAAACGCCTGGAGCAAGATTTGCACTCAGGATCTCAGAGTGTGATTGGAGCCAGAGCTCCAAGCCACTTAAATTCCTTTCCATCTGAGTGAGTGCTTCCTATGACAAAATATGGAAAAACGATTCCCCTTTTCCCAGGAATAGGGGATTAGGGAAGAACGTCTTTCTTCTC